AGATTACATTGCAATGAAATGATGGTGTAAAGCTGATGTTCTCCCATGTAAACTATCACTCAATTCACAATAAAAACTTTAAAAAAATATGATATGAACTTAGGTCATTTTCAGATAAACAGAAATTAAAACAACTTGTAAAAACAAGGCTAAGCTTACAAAAAATACTAAAGGGAGTTCTTTGGATAGCGAACCAACAATAGCAGACAACAACCTGAGATTAGCATACCTGACAATAGCACCGACACTGAACCCAGTTATAGAATTGTTCAAAGTAAACCAGACCTATAAGACTAAAAATAGATAATCAGAGATACAGTTACAACAAACAACTAAAGAAAACATGAAGTCAAAAGTTAGAGCTTCCAAATGGAAAAAAAAAAGATTTCAAGAAAAAAATAAAAATAAACCTAACTGTAACTCTAAAATCGAGACCAAGTCTTACCCCTAACACCAACCTTTACTCCAATACTAACCTTAGTCCTAACACTAAATGAAGTCCTAGGCCTAGCCTAGACCTAGCCATAGCCTAAACCTCTCTCCTTATTCCTACCCACCTATGCACCCATCCCCTAAACAAAAAAGTACAGCTATAAAGCCATAGAAACCTTTATAAAACAAAAATATCAAAGCGTGAAGCTAGTGTCTCTGGACACATTTTCCACTTAGGGCTATACACTTCCAAAGGCATTGTTTCTAGTCCTCTAGCCCTTCTCCGAAGAATTCTGCATTCTTAGATTTACACCAAGTCAAAACAGCAATTCAGGTATCCTGGAGGGACACGGATTGTGTTCTTTTGAAATGTTCTTTGCATTTTGGAACAAAAATAAGTCTGGAGGGGCAAGATCAGGCCTATAGGGTCGATGGGATAAGGTTTACCACTGAAATTCTGAGACAGCTACAATGAGCAGGCGTAGGGTCATGATAGGAAAAAGTTCCTGAGTAGGTTTCTTGACCTTTTTTCACCAATACAGACTTCCATTTGCTTAAAACTTAATAATAAGCCTCAGTGATCATGTCCTATGAGAAAATCTATGAAGATTACCCCTTTGAAATCTAAAAAACCGTTGCCATAACCTTTTGAATTGACCGCTCTTCCTTGAATTTAACCATTATTGAGAAAACTTGTCAGCAGCCATACACAGAACATAAAGACATGTTGTTTTAACATGTTCTGCTAAAATAAACCTGTGCACATATGAACTGGGACTCTAGTAGCAATACTTCTTGATTCACCCTCATAATTTCTCTCATATTTATCCATAAGGCTACATAGTTTAAGTAAACAATCAAACATACATAAAAGGAGACCCTGATGCAAGGTCTCTCCTACCTCTAAAATCTTA